GAGAGTGAGAGAGAGTAGAATGTTCCAGACTAAAACTTACAAAAGTGGCACTCCCATAGTCGTGAGAAGGTGTGGGTGAAGTGCAAGGCATGAACTTGTCCTCGATAGACTGATGTCATTGTAACAGAGAAAAGGCTACAGCTAAAGTTTATGTTAAGGGGTGGAGATGGAATTTTGAAGTACGATTGATGTCAAGAGAAGGTAGGAGCAATACAAGTAAATAGGCTGTCAATTTACCTACTCTAACAGCAACTAATCATTAGAGAGTTTTGTTTTTGGTTCTGGGAAAACCCAGGAGGGTGTAGAAATTGACTAATGAAGTATTGGACCTAGTTGTGAGTAGATGTGAATACTATTTGGACATTTGCAAGAATAATAAAGAAATTTGTATAAAAACTCATGTTTGAATTGAAAAGTCAGTTCTCTTGGCATGTAAAGAAAAGTCAGTCTGCTGAAAACTGAAGAGTTCTCCTTAAAGTCTGAAGTTGAAAGTCTGCAAAAAAATTTTGAAGCAACGAAGCCAAAACACCATCTCAACCTTGATGTAAGTTACAATTAATATTTCTCTCAAATCGAATAAAATTGTTAAGAAGCTCGTGTAAAAGAGTGTAACGTTAGAAAGGTTGGAATATGTCAGAATATCTGGCTATTAATCGAGAAACTTCTTAAAATCATAGAGGATTTGATGAGAATTGTAATGGAGTTGATTAATGAGATACCAAAGTTTTATATGTTAGAATTGTAAGTTGAAATATCTATGTTATATTAAATCTGATGTATTTTTTTTTGGAACCCCTGTCTCCAAGTCCTTTCTTTATTCTAACTGTAAATTTCATTGAGTTAGTGACTTTTATACTCCACTCGTGACTGTATTTCTAAACTTAATATAAATCTATTGTGACTGGTGGTAGAGTCGAGCTCCAATGACTAGCTTACATGCCCCACCTGTTACAGTTTGCCTTTGACTGGAGTAAGTCTTATCACTTCCTTTCATTTATGTTTTATTTTCAGCAACCCTAGTTTTAACCACTGATAATGGTATCCCACTCTATGGCAGGTGTAGCCTGGTCAGGTATGCTTTGCCTTAAACCCATACTATTTACTGATTGCATTATAACACTCACTGTAGAGATAGTGTTTCTGCAAGACCACTGGTGGCATACCTAGTGGTATATATATATATATATATATATATATATGTTTCTAGATATCAATAACTTATACTCAGTGGTGGACCGTCACTCATGGACTTCATAAGTAAAGTAGAAGGGGATTTCTGCATATCCCTGCAGACCCTTTGAGTAAGTAAATTGGGGTTGGTATGCTTTTTAAAATAGGGAATCACGGACTCCCACTGCACTTTCTCCGGTGTGATGTTCCTCTGGACTTCCCCTCCACATTTACTTTCCCCATTTATTTCTTCTTGTGAAGCATGGGAGTCCTTACCACTTCCCAGTTGCTGGGGTGGTGGACCATGGAGAATTTCTTCTGAATGAGTTTAGAATTTACTTTACAATACCTACTCATGATTATACACTCAGTGAGAAGAAGGAAAAACGGGTTTCCCTCCTTCCATTTTCCCTAGTTGCTTTTTCCCAGGTGTACAGATGTTGGGTGGAACAGGTCCAGCCTCTGCAGGATCCTCCTCATAATACTGGCTTCAGGATGACACCGCTCCACTCCTACAGCTGTGTATATTGGAGGCCTTTCTTTTTGCTCATTGCAGTTGCTCCTATGGTTGAGTTTGGGAGACTTTGTCTGCCTCGTAATACCAGCAACAGGACGTACGTACACTGTTCCTACATTTGAGCAAAATTTCCATGTCCTCCTCATAATTCCAGGTGCAGGATGTCACTTTTCTGCATTTACAGTTGAGTGAGTTATGTTTTCTGCTTCTAATACCGGTTACAGATATTACCCATAACCCCGGATTTGATTTGATGTACTTTTTGCTTCTACTGTTGTTGTGGGGAGTTTGTCTGGTTTCAACCAAAAGCTCACATCCTCTTCGTAATTCCGGTTGCTTGACGTGTGACACCCTGTTTACTTACGTTTGGTGTTGATAGGTATATATTGCACGGTGCACATGCCTTATGTTTGTGTTACAAGAATTGTTTTTCATCCTGAACTTCTTAATGCCGAGGATGAGTTATGGAACCTTGTCTGTCCAGTTGAGGTTGTGAATGTACATAGTTAATCTTGTTTATATTTTACCTCTCAGAACAAATTACACTTGTGCACATCCTTTTTTTTCCCACTTGTATCAGATTCACTTCTTACTTCAAGAGTGAAGAACATACCTGTTCCAGAAGTAGTGTGGTACCCCACAAGTGTGCTTAAAAACAACCAAACCATTTGACTGAAAGAATTGTTATAAGTTATCCTCTGAGTATCACACAACCTGCCTTATTGTTGAAGTGCTGCAGAACTATATGGTGTACTAATCTACAAAGACCTTCCTCATGGGTATGGTTTAATTGACACCAAAAGGGGAATATGTAATAACAATGAGTAACCAAGGTTATCTGCACTTTAGAATCCATCTTTGTATTTAAATCTATACCACTGTCCATGTTTTTTATGATTGCAGAAAAAAAATTGTAAAGAACTACTGATTGTAGAAAGTTTAAAAGTGTGTGGACTTTTACAGAAATTGTAGTTTGTCTACAAAAACAGTGTAATTTTCATATTCTGTTTATTTTTTTTTACTTGCAATCTATCTAATTCACAATGCATTGCATTGAACTACAATGGATGCAATTTATGTCCCTGTTTATACCTGTCCCACTTAATGTTAACTGTTCTGAAACCAGTTAGTCTTTTCTTACATTACAATTTTTGTCCTACATATGTCAACAGTTAAAATGTTTATTATAATTTCTCATATTGCCTCGACAGTGAAGTAAAATTGTATAAACAAAAATCATTGGAACTGTCAAATTATTTTGGGTCTGAAGATTATTTTTTTTCTGAGCAGTTAATCTTTCTTTCTTTTTGTACAGTCTCGGGTGAATTTGGGATGTATGAAATTTGTACAAGTGGTAATAAGCTTTAATATGGTGTTGGAAGAGAATGTAATGGAAAATGTTTCATTTTCTGTGATTTTTAGTGGACTATATGGACAGTTTTCTGCTGAGACATTTAGAGAGTGTGTCTGTTACATACCAAAACTGGCCACAGAACACTGGTTTGCATAGGCATATTTTTTTTGATTCTGTTGTGAAACTTTTATTGTTTATCACACTGCTGCTCATTTTTATCTTGAGAGAAGACAGAATTGGCACTAGGAGCTTGGCAATGTCATCAGGTTTTCTAATTTGTTATATTAGGTTATTTGTATCGTGCTATGGCTGCATTGCCTCGGTCAGCTGGTAGAATCATTTTGCTAATACTTTACAAACCATTTAACAAAGGAAAAAAACGACAAACGTTTGACATAATATTGATATTAAGAACACCAAACATTTTACTGAACTAGATAGACAATGTCTTCTTGCAAGAAATTCCATAAATATTTCTCCATGAATTATGAAATGAAAAGGATATGTTAATATAAAAAAAATAGGATGATTTAAATAATATATCCTTCATTGCAAATATTTTTGATAAATTCATAGTGATTGAGTAGAAAAAAAGAAATGCATTCTTGGTGTCATGTTTGTCAACACTTGATTTTAATCATAATATCAACTACATTGTAGTGTAATGACACATATTAAAAGGTGACATAAGTGTTTTCAGTACCTGGTTGTATTACCTATTCAAAATATTCTCATACTTAACCTTAAATAAAGAGTAGTCTCGTGGTGATAAGATGTAGAATGTACAAACTACTACTTTATGTTAGTTTATGTGTAGCCCCCCCAGTGGCACAGTGGTATTTTTGCGGACTTGCAATGCTAGAATCTGAGTTTCGATACCCATGGTGGGCAGAGCTCAGATAGCCCATTGTGTATCTTTGTGTATGTTTATGTGTATATAGGTATGTTTGTTTGTATTTATAGATTATCTCTAATAAAAAAGATTTTTATCCTTGTATTAAATAAGATGCATAACTTAATAAAGAAAATCATCATGCTACCTGTAGAGTATTTAAAATTGTACTTTCAACAACACACTAGCTAGCTTGCAATAACACATATTAGCATTATTCACAGAAACATATTTTTAACGTTTAGTATAACTTAAATTCAAATAACGTGGTGTTTGTGTCAACGAAAGCTATTCATTATTTGTTAAATAAATGTAGAGGTAAATGTGTCTAATTAAGTATGGTAAAGAAATTTCAGGGTACATTTATCTAGTTGAACAGGTTTAAAGAAATGGTAAGACACATTTACATAATCCAATGGGTTAAGATGTGTCAAAATCTTACTTAATGGACTTAGTTAAGTAGATTGACAGCATTTTTTATTATGCTGAGTAGGTTAAATATGTAGGATACGTTTACTTAGTTGTGTTGACTTTGAAACACATTTACCTAGTTTTGTAAGATGAAATGTAGAAGTACATTTACCAAGTTAAATAAGTTAGAAAAATTGTGAAACCACTTTTACCTAGTTAAGATACTTACCTAGTAGAGTATGCTAAGGAAATTGAAAGAGTTAGGTAAATATATGACATGTTACCTTTACCCAGTTTAATATGTAAGTAAGTTTCAAGGTGCTTTTATTTTGTTGAGTAGGTTGATGAACCTTCATGAGAAGTGTACCTTTTTTAACTAGGTTGAAATATATAATTCCACTTACTTAATTCTAAAATCTGGTTGTATCACAGATTTCTATAGGTTGTGAGAACATTAAAGAAAATATTACTTTATTTTGATATCCCTATTTCTCAGAAGAAAATATTTAATTCAAATGTTGTTACTTGTATTCAACTCTTTAAAATTGGTCTCTCTCAATTGTAAAAATGCATTTTGCTTCTAAAAAGTTGATAAGATTGTAGTTTTTCTTTCATAAATTTGTGCTTGAGATTCAGTTGGACTTTTTTACTCATAGCTGACGTTGAACATTTTCAACTACATTCTGTACCTATGGGACAACCACACACAACAAATACTACATCTAATTTCTCAGAAGGACTTCAATCTGTCTGCTTCTCTAGAGAAGTCATTGCTGTCATTAAGAGGTAAAAACCTAGCAACATGATTCTGTAAACCAAAATATAAAGTAGTGTTTATATTTTTTTATGTTGAGCCATTTCAATCTTGATTTATGTTATTCCAGTAATTTATTTAATCCTTTTTACTTTTAGACTGTAAAGTTGAAGTTAATTTGATTTTTGTAAATACACTTTCCTCATTGTAAATAAGACATTTACAGTACATGTAAATGGTACACATATTTTAAATTTTTACCTGGGAAACCTGAACTTTAGAAATTCTTATTCACACATACCCTCAGGTTAGGTTTCTGCAAATTTCAACCAGATAACAGATTGACTTCCCCCTTCCCTACACACACACACACACACACCCAAAATTTTTAAAATCTATGAAATTCGTTATTCTACAAATGGAGATGGTAAAGCAATTATGTTTATGCAAAGAAATTATTTAAAAAATAATTGAACTTTTAAATTAATCACCATTGTAAATTGTGTAAATAATGAATTCAGCCATTTCATGATTTAAGAAAGTGATATAGTTATTCAGTTAAAACGTGTTGTTTTTTGGGTACATTTAGAAAAGTTCAGTGTGTGTGTTTGTTGAAAGTTACTGTGACCAGTTGTACATAATCTAACTGTAATCCTCTTACATTGGCTTCTTCAAACAACTAGTTAAAGCATGTTTACTTAACTTTTATTTGTAGTGTATTTAATGTGTAGTAAAGTTGTTTATGTTTGTGCTGGATGTTTTTCAAAAATGAAATGGCAAAAAAAAGTGAAGGCCAGTGAGCTAAGATGTTGATCAAATTTCCTGTTTTTCATAGCATTAGAAACTTCATTTCTTTTACTAAAGTTATATTACGTTCTACTTGTATTTTGAGTTTATAATTTTAATTTTGAATATGAATATTACTGCTAAATTTGTGATTTGAATTAAATAGTGTATTAGTAAATTGCATAATATATTTTCCAAAGTGCTGAGAAAACTCATTGTGCATGGCATGAAGAGTCCTCATGAGGTGGAGGATGCTGTTCGTTTCATGAGTCTTGTCTTCCATAGGATTCCAGAGTTTCTACATTGCAGTAAGTAACTATTAGCTCAGAAATAGTGACATGTTTACAGTTGACACAAAACTGTTTCTGTATTTGGCTAGAAATGATTTCTGGGTGTCATTGTGTGGATGATTAGTGTGTTATCCTAGCACTGTAAGTTTTAAGTGTGAATTATTTTGATGTAGATGATATTGAAGACTTGTCTTTAGTAATTAATACAATGATAAAGATAAAATTTCCTTGATTGTATTGAATGTTTAAGTATGCTGTTGCAATTATCACAATGATTATTAATTAACTCAAGGATATTAGTCTCACAAGTTTTTGTTTTTCATTCAAATTTCCATGACATTGTGAGTATTTTTTCCTAGGAAAAGCTGTAGAAGACAGGAACAATCTTAGAGAGCTGATTCAGAAATCTTTAATTGTTCTAACTAAAGCAGTAAGTTTCCATGTTTTCATGTTAAAGATGTGGTAAAAACATTTTGCATATATATATATATATATATATATTTCTATTATGACCATTTTGCATATTTTACTGATAATACAGAAAAAAATGTTTTGTATATTGCAGAATAGGTGTGTGCATGCATGCATATCATGGTAAAAATGTTTTAATTTTTAATATAATTAGATAAATATACAGTTGTTCTCTGGGGCCTTGGTTTACTTAGCACTGGCCTATTAAACTAGGCATTTGATGGGCTCAGATTCAAGATTTAGTGTTATTAATATGCTTCGTACTTTCCCACAAGTGACTCAGCAGTAAGTCTAAAGGCTTATAATGCTGAAAACTTGGTTTCGATACTTATGATGGGCACATCACAGATTGCCCAAATGAACAAAAAGTTTTGCACTTTCAATAGTGAGCTGTGGGTGAATTATCGGAGTAACGGCCAATCCCAGTATTTGTGAAGAGTAGCTGCTTCAGGTGGTGCATGCTGCAGACTAGTTGCCTTTCCTCTAATATGTAACTCTGAATTTGGGATGGCTATGTCTAAATCGTAGTAGTCTTTCAACTGGAAATTTAGTCCATTTTGTGTGCATACGATGTTTTTCAGATGAGCAAACAAACAAATATTTGTTCAGACTTTTTAAAATACATCTAGGATAGAAGATGGAAATAAATTAAACTTATTTTTGTAATCATACATCTTTTATATAGACAGTACATTGTATTTGTTAAAATGTTTAAAATGTGCTGTTATTTTGAGCTATTATGAAGAACATTCTTACAATTAATATGTTTGTAGTAAATAAATGTGTAGTTTTTGTTCAACTTATTTAAACATTACAAAAGATATTCATTTCTTCAACCAGCTACATGACGTGCTTGAACTTCATCCCTTCTCGTTTGTTCAGTTCATCAGGTCATCGCTGGATTGTACTGTTTCTCTGTGTTTTACTCCAGCTGGGGAAGGTAAGTTGGACAGCTGTATTCTGTATACTAAGAGTCTTTTTTTTTTCATGTTCATGTTGCAACATGATTATGTATGTAAATATTTAATCTTAATACTAAAAAAAAAGTGGAAAATACATGTGAGCAATTATTTGCATATAAAATTAGATTGTTAATTAAAAATTCCCCAGATATTCTGATAATAAAAAAGGTCAAACTGAAAGCACTAAAGATTTCTGTATAAAAGTTAAATAAGTTCTGCACATGATTCACTATTGTAGTTGTTAGTATGAACTCCAGACCATGTGAACATCATTAGACTAATATTTATATGCTCTAGCATTGTAACTATCTCATTAACAATATGTTCAAATGGCTTTCTTTTGAAATATAACTTTTGTGAAGCATATTACCTAACAAGTGTAAAACATTAAAAAAATACAGAGTTCTATGAAAAATTAAGCAGTGTTATCAGCTTTGATACAGAGTTTTATGAGAAGTTGAGCAGTGTTATCAGCTTTGATACAGAGTTTTATGAGAAGTTGAGCAGTGTTATCGGCTTGATACAGAGTTTTATGAAAGTTAAGCAGTGTTATCAGCTTTGATACAGAGTTTTATGAAAAGTTGAGCAGTGTCATCAGCTTTGATACAGAGTTTTATGAAAAGTTAAGCAGTGTTATCAACTTTGATACAGAGTTTTATGAAAAGTTGAGCAGTGTTATCAGCTTGATACAGAGTTTTATGAAAGTTAAGCAGTGTTATCAGTTTTGAAATGTAACATATTGAGTTTCATACAAGAAATAGATGAATTGTTGGTATTTACGTATCTACTTCCTAGTGGTGGCTTTAATCTTTCTAAACCAGTGTTCTTTTTATGTGTAAGGGGGTATTGTAGTTAAATGGGGAAGGTCCTTTTTTTTTGTAAAAGTTGTGGACAGGTGTGGTGATCCAGTGCTGTCTGGGAGCTTCAAGGTTAATTATATATGCAATATATTTTAGCATTAATATTTAGTATTCTGTATTTTCCAGACATCAGAAATTCTAATTTACTATGACAATAAATATACTAATTCATTTTGTGGGTTTATGAATTTATTTATCTGTGAACTCTGATACTTTTGGAGCTTGCAGGAACAGTCTTGACAGGTGGGCTTTGGGTGGCCAGGGTGATAACCTTATTTATATGGTGTAGCCCCACCTACTAAGGGGGATCAAGTACTCCAGAAGCTACCTAGGTATAATGGGGATCTAGGAGTAGGTTTTTAGGAAGCTCTGTGTTCTTACTTCCCACTCACGACTACACATGGTCAGGCATCCTAACAAGGTTTGTTTTGGGGTATGGACCTCCTCAAGGTGGTTATAGAAGTAACTGGGGATAATGGAAAAGCTTTTTAGTACATTGGGGTCTCTTCGAAACATGAGAGGGCCCTCTAAACCCCACAGCAGAATACAGATGTTTAGTGCTAGTAAACACAAGCTACAATGGAGATTTAAATCAGTGTTTGGCACTAACACCAAGAATACTTAAGGAGCTGCCATTGGCTCATACATATAGGTGACATCCACATTGGGAAAGTTCAGTAACTCTTACAATTTTATCATTATTAGGTTTGCTTTTTGAGAGATTTAGAGTCCAGTGTTTAAACTTGATCAAAGGAATTTTGTTTTGCCCGGAATACAAACCAGCTAAAGTAATTGAAGGTAAGTTAGCTTTTATATTTTGAGTACATTCTTGTCAAAATGCTGAGTAGTTTTATTTTTTATTTTTTTTAGTCTGTATATTAAATAAAAATCAGTTAATTACTAAGAATGAAGATATAATATTTTATAAGAATTCAGTTGACTTGATTTCTTGGTAATTTTCAGTACTTAAGCCCAAACCAGTATCCTTTAGGAAAGTTTGTTTATTTCCTTTATGTTGTGATTATTAATTTCATTTGTTTTTTTTTGATTCCCAAAAATAAAACTATTGTACCAATAATGTGTATAGTGTTGATAATCAAAGATGATTCCAAGTAGGTAAAAAGACATCTCATTTCTTTAGTTGGTCGAAGTAAATATAAGTGAAATAGAAATATTCTGTTTAATGTAAAGAAACCAGGAGTACAATAAAGAAGATTTAATTGGAAAGTATATATTTTTTTGTAGAGTTATCAGTATCAAGTTTCATGTACTTATAATTCTCTTTTGAAGATTAAACTTGGTATTGTAATATTAGATATTTTCTAAAAAATGTAAAAGAGTCCTTAACATTTATCGAGTGTTATCTGATGTCTTCGAAAGAAATAGGAATTTTCCTCTGGAGCAGTAACTTTCTGAGAAGTTTGTGTGTTTGTATGTATTATACTTGTTCAGTAATAAGTTATATATGATCCCCCCCCCCCACATTTTTATGTTATCTTTCTATATAGCAATTTGTTTATCATTAATGCTATTAATTTGTCTTTTTAGAAACCAAAGAACCTGCCACACTAGAAGCCCATCGTATCAAAATGGAATTTTTTACTTATTCTACTTTAACAGAAATATGTCGGAGACTACTGACAAATTATTTTCTTCTAACTGAAGAAGACTTAGATTCTTGGGATAATGATCCAGAAGAATTTGGTAAGCTATTAGAGTACCTGTTAATTATATTTGATGCATATTGATTTTAATCATTATTATTATTATTTTATTTTATGGTTTACAGCCTACCGTAGTGTTATAAGTGTTAACAAACATATTGAATTAGTTAGTTTCTTGGCACTGTCTTTCAACAACAAAACTGAAGTCTTTCAATCTTAGATTTATAGATCCTTCAGAAATATCCCTTCATATTTATTTTTTCTTAAACTTGATTTTGATCAACTGAGATACCAAATGAAATCTAAGACATAAAGTTCAACTTGGTATCACAGGAATGATATGTTTCTGTCTCGCATGTCTTATGAACCATACTCTACCACATTAACAAAGCACCTGATGTTGATTATTTTGTCTTTTGGGAGTTAGCATGTTGTGCCCCCCAATGCTATAGAACCAGTAGTTCCAACTATTCCAGATTTTTATTCCCATCTTTTTGTAAACCCCAGAAAGACAGGGATTGGTGCCCCTTTTTAGATCTTTCCATTTGAACTGTTCTATGAAGGTTTCTCTGTTCACCATGGAGTCTTACATGTCCCTTTGATGGGCATTTGCTCCTGGTTCTTGTATGATGAAGATTGACGTGTCTGATGATTACCTTCACATCGCTTTATAGTCTTTGCTTTGTCCATGAGGTATGTGTTTATCAGTTCCGTGCCCTTCCTTTCAGGTTTGCCTTGGCCCTCCATGTTTTTGTTGGGTTGTCAGGTACTTTGCCCACCTTCTTCATGTACTTGATTTCCGTTTCCACCAGTACATAGATGATTGGCTCCTTTTAGCCCCATCAAGAAGTACACATAACATTGCTTATAAACCTAAGGTATGAAGAAATATTGCCCATGTTTTACCTAGATCATGAATTATACTAGTAATACCATCAAAAACTAAGGAACTTTCTTTGTTTTGGTCATGCTGTTTAATTATGATACTTTTGAAAACATAATGTTTTTTGCTTTTTTTCAGACCATAGTCTTTAGTAATGATACATTTAAAAAGTAAGAATTGATCTTTATCTAGATCATGATTATTAGTAATAATGCTGTCAAAATGTTAAGCCCCTTCTTTATATAGACCTTGGGCTTTAGTAAAGACATGGTCCAAAATATGATATATATATATATATGTAATATTATATAACACAATTGTGTTTATATTACTGCAATTAGTAATTATAATAATTAAAGTTCAAGGTCCATCTTTTGTGTAGACCATAACTTTTAATAATGGCACTCTTCAAAAGATTAGGCCATATCATTTGGTAAAGACACTGTGAAAACAAGGTCCTTTCTTTGTTGAAATAACAGGTTTAACTTGTCATACCATCCAAAAATATTGTATTTTTGTTGTGTAGCTTATAGACTTTACCAATAGCACAATGCCAAAAAATAATTTTCTTTATTGAGGTCACAGTTTTACTAATGATGGTAAGAAAAATAAGGTTATTTTCTTGTTTAGAACATAATCGTAAGTAATGCATTATTCACAAATTAAAGCTGTTTCTATAATAGATATTAAAAACATGGTAATACCAAAAAATATCTTTAATACAGAAGTTTCAGAATTTCATTAAATTCCATCATCAGTATTAATATCTAAAAAAAATAATTATTTCATAATGTTTGAACTACAGAAAACAACATTAGCATTGAACAAGTTTTCATATTCAGTCAGAAGTTTAGAAAGAACAGACTTAAACGGTAACAATAAAATGGAATGTATGATAAAACATGCGGCATACACATGTTTGATAAATAAAATTGTTAAGAGAAACTATTATAGAGAAAGGCTTAAATATAAGTAGAAACACTGAATCTTTAAAATAATAATAATTATCAAATAAAAACACTGAGAATCCAGAATTGATTACATTAATGACAACAGGGAGGAGTTGATATTATTATTTAGTGTTGGGTAATCATTAAAAATGGAGAGGTTTTCTTTAAAAAAGAGTTTGTAATCTGTGGTTCTGGAGTCGAGAATGTTAAAGTTTTCTGGAAATTTTATTATCAGGTCTAATTAATTAACATATCTTTAAATCTTATAAGTCATGGAATTTAACTAAACTGGGTTGTCAGATTTTATCCATATTAATGCTGTTGGTGCAGGCTTTGGTGATAGATTTGTATTAAATAATGCAAACTTCAGTTATGAGTAACATTTATATAGAGCTAAGCCTAACTAACTAATCTAGCAAAGTACCAGCTTTTATACTCTTTTCTTATAGAGTCCTTGCTATTTAAAACTTGGAAAAGCTAGTTGAAATTCTTAGTTTTGGTGAAATTTTCTGGAACTTTCTCATCACACACTTACATTGTAATTCATCTTAAACATTTTATTTGCTAATGTTCGTGGTGCAATATGTTTTTGAAATACATTTATCTTGTAGCTTGTCCTTCACAAGACACGAGTTATTGGTGTTTCTGTGTTTCTTCCACATCCACTAAATGTACCTTTGTCTACTTCACTCGTGATGTTTACTTAGATTGACTGGCTGATAAGTAGCTGTACTGGTCATTTGGTAAATCTTGTAGCTTGTCCTTCACAAGACACGAGTTATTGGTGTTTCTGTGTTTCTTCCACATCCACTAAATGTATCTTTGTCTACTTCACTCGTGATGTTTACTTAGATTGACTGGCTGATAAGTAGCTGTACTGGTCATTTGGTAATGATTTTTCCATTATAGGATAATAAATCAAGCTGTTTATGCATAAAATAAATACTTGCTTATGTAAATAGGGTTGATAGCACTTTCAGTGAATGATGTATATATGCTAATGCAGTGACATGTTGCTGTCTGAAGTGCCAAGAATAACATATCTAGCATCTGCACATTTGCTTAAAGACAAATATGTGACCATTAATGCTACATTGCTGATACACGTTAACTTATTCCTGATGTATTGCTACAGCCTCAATGAGGATGAAATATTCATTAGCAAGATTGTTAAATGAAATAGATCCAAAAGGTCTAAGAAGAGAGCTTTCTGAAGCAGAAAAACTTGCAAAGCACTTAGAGCAGGACTCCCTAATTTTATCATAAGCAGTGCCCTCATTTACAAGGTAAAGGCTATGGTTTCAAAAGAGACTTCCACACCCCACCCTTTATGTCAAAAAGTCAGTGTGCTGAAGCTGGACATGTTTCCTCATGCTGTTAACAAGGTAATAGACAAGGTTTAGAAATTGAAAAAGTTTGCAAGCTTTCAGCCACAATAGTTACAAAATGTGACTAAATAGCTGAAATTTCAGCAATTTCAATAAGTCACATATTTGTTAATTCTCCTGATACAGTTTCATTGAACTTTTGTTCTGTATATTTTTTTTTTTTGTTGGTCTGTAAATATGATTTTGGAAGCTGATACCAGTCTGTGTGTAAAGGCCTGTTGAAAGTCTGTTAAGATGAGTTGTCTAAAATGATATTGCAATCTCTTACAGAAGTTTGTTACAGTAGAAATTGTGGTGTCTAGCAATAGTTTGTGTGATGATGACCGTCATATTGAGCAAGATTGATGCTGGAGGAAGTAAATCCAAGAATAGCACTAGACCTAGATCCTCAAGTGCAGTTAATCTTAGTTTACTTAAATATTAATATCTAATTAAATGGATAATAATTATTACCCCACTTTTATCTGAAATGTCAAAATACTTCATTATTAAAACAATAACTTATTCTCTTCTGCTAGGTTTTAGTCATGTTCTATCATGAACCAGTAAAAAGTTTGTTTTTTTGGGGGGGAGGTTAAACCTTTCGTTTTTGTGAATCAGAAAATAAAGTAGCTATTTTACTAAGGTAATGGCCTTTTTTGTTAGGATCAAGAATACAAGATTCAGTTTTACCTGTATCACAGCTGAGCAAGTGTTTGTTTATAAGTATTAAGTTTTATTAATATGGTTTCATTAAATTGGTTTCACAGATCACAAAATATGTTATTGGTTTATTGATTGATTGATGTTGAAATTTTTAATTTGTGACTTCATAATGCTAAAATTATTGTGTTTTATTATGGTTATATCTTAATAATTCAAACAATTAAAAAAAAAAGATTCTTTTAAAACTGAAGTTAAAATTCTATTTATTTCAGCAACTGATGAGGGAGGAGAGACGTGGAAGTTTAGTTTGAGGGTAAGTCTAACAATTGTGATTGTCCATATGATTTATCTGATTGAAAGAAGTCACACATTTATGTATGATTAGTTGATTCACATTTATGTACAATAGGGGGTGTAGCCAAGGAGGAATCATGGGGGTTGGGGGGCAAACAACCACCCACAATATTCTAAAAAAGTCTAAAAGGTCTACTATTTTCTGATATTTGAAATAAACACTTGGTTTCCATGTAAGTCATTTAAATTATTTGTATAGAAGAAAAGTTCCATGTTTTTTGGGAAAAGACTCCACTCCTCACACCCCTGTACTATACCACTTAAGAATGTTCTTGTGTGCTAGAACTTTAAAAACTAATGTTGTCAAATAATCGTGTAGTAAACAACTACTTAGAGCAGTTTTTTTAATTAACTATGAATGGCTGTTCAATTCCTGTAGTAACAATGAGCAAGCCCAATAATCTTGCTTCTGGCTATACCAGTGGACTGTGGCTAATCTGGTTAAATGCCTTCATTTTTTTTTTGCAAATTATTTGAAGTATGATGATTTGCATATGCAGAATAGTGTCTAAAATTGACCTCTTCTATGAGGGTTACACTACAGGACTTTCTCACACAAAATGATTCTGTTACATTATTACTAAGTCAGTCAAACATATTTTAACATTTTGAAGAAAATTTTGGTAAAGTAAGAAAAAGACATAATTTCTAAAAGGCTAAAATTTATGGTTATCTGTCATTTGAACACCAGAGATTATGTCATCAGAAGTAATCCAAGAAAGCAGTGGCCCATTGTAGCTAAATTAGAAATTTATTTGGAATTGAATCAAAATAATTCACAAGTTTCCCCCAAAGCACATAAATAAATGGAAGACAAGCGGTCAAAGGTTGTATGAGAGTTATCTTGCATGTGACACGTGGAATTATGAAACATATCTATTTTAGTGACGGAAACAAACTGGGCAATTTATTGATCTCGTGCTGGTGATAGAGCACTCCAAAAAATTGAATAAAGCATGTCATAAAAGTCTCTCCAGAGGATTTATGCTTGTTGCAGGTTACAGCTATAATTGTAAGTTAAACATGCCTACTGGGAATTGCAGAATTTGGTTTTAAATAATAGAAGTAATTAGTTGAAACATCTTGTACCTTATAGAGAACATACTATTGAACAAGAATGGATTATTTTATACCCTATTATGCCATGAGAAAATAAATATCTTTGTAAAGATTGATTTCTAATATAGTAGGGATCCATCCAGCCAAAATTCAAGTCAATATGCCAGTTCCTTGCAGTATACAATATACAAGGTATTCACAAAAGTACAAGTAAAATCATCAGATGTCTCTATGTCTTTGGAATTTTTGCTCATGTATGGTTGAGAGACTTTGGAAAGTATATAAAGAAGAGTGGGCTAACATTTATCTTAATGTATTGTGCAAAAGACTCCTGGAGTGTACATAGAACTGAAAAGCCATTACATGAAACATGGTCACTTGTGAAAGGAGGAGCTGTCAGGGCCAGGCACTCATCTTTGTATCATAAGCATAGGTTTTGATCACTCCTATATATTTGCAAGATGGGAAACAGTTTTCACTTACAAATGTAAAGATTTTGTGCACTTTTATAACATGATATCGTTTAAACATTCTAACTTTATTTTATTATTTTAATCTGATTTCATTAAGATTTTGTCATAAATATTTAAATTTTTGATCTGGTTTTACATAACATTCTTTATTATTTAATTTTGATATTTTGTTTACCATTCATCACATATAATGTTTTTCACAATATTGATTATATTTCAGTGAACCTAGATTAAGCCTCAATCATATTAATGTTATGGAAGAATACATTATAAACTGTCTGCTATTGCAATACCTAGTCATTGAGATTCATTCCTTAATAATAATAATGATTTTGAATTATTTAGAATAAGTCGTATATATATAATTTTTGGAACCTGCTGTACCTTATAGAGAACATTCTATTAAAAAAGTTAAATTATTTTATATTATCATTATGGTTGGGTGTGGCTTAGTGTTTTTCATGCTAGACTGTTAATTAGAAGGTCCAAGGTTGAAGCCACTATATACTGTTGAACATTTTCACATTGTGAGGATATTATAACAGTGGAGTTTATCTCACTACTCAGTTATGAGTAAACTTAAGGGCAGCGGGTGCCTTCTTTATTGTTAGCATTTCTAGACTAGGAGTGGTTGATCTGGCTGTTTAGCCATATGTTGCTAAGTAGGATTAGCACTATCAGACTTTAGTCTCTAGGTTTAATGGGTAGAACATTAGATTGTTGAATGAATGAAGGCTTAGCACCATCAGACTTTAGTCTGTAGGTTTAATATGTAGAATATTAGATTGTTGAATGAATGAAGGGTTAGTACCATCAGACTTTAGTCTCTAGTTTAATGGGTGGAATATTAGATTATTGGATGAATGAAGGGTTAGCACCATCAGTCTAGTCTCTAGGTTTAATGGGTGGAATATTAGATTGTTGAATGAATGAAGCTTTAGCACCATGAAACTGTACTACCTATATTTAATAAGTTGAAACTTGTATTTATTGGGGGAATGTAGGTTTACTACCATCAGACTGTACTATCTAAGTTTAATTGGTAGTTTTTTGATTGCTGGATGATGAAAATTTTAGCACAACAAAACTGCAGTGAGTGTCTAGGTTTTAATGTGTAAATATTAAAATGTTAGATATAGCATCATGATGCTGTACTCCTTAGGTTAAAGGATTCGGATTTTTGATAAATGAATGTTGCACATTTTAAAGTACAGAATAATTTGGGTACGGGTTTTTTAATTTAAAAGTAGAATTGTCAGATAATGAATTATTTTGCTGTAAAGTATATAAAAACAAACTGTTTGATTAGTCTGTTTTAAGGTATGAATGGATTAATTTTCAGCCATTTTTTCCTGTCTCTGGTTCTCTTCTATTCTTATATTTGACTAGTCTATTTTAAGGTATGAATGGATTAATTTTCAGACATTTTTTCCTGTCTCTGGTTCTCTTCTATTCTTATATTTGACTAGTCTATTTTAAGGTATGAATGGATTAATTTTCAGCCATTTTTTCCTGTCTCTGGTTCTCTTCTATTCTTATATTTGACTAGTCTGTTTTAAGGTATGAATGGATTAATTTTCAGCCATTTTTTCCTGTCTCTGCTTCTATTCTATTCTTATAATCCATTACATAGAATCTTGTGAAAAGCAGAAAAAGTTAACCCAAATCATTTTCAAGACTTACTATTTGATTTGTTGATAAGATATCATGTTTGACATGTTTTAATTTTTCTCGAATCTGCTGACACTAACTGGCTCAAAACAAACCAAACTTATTTATGTTATTAGCATCAGTTATAGAAGCAGTAATTGTAAAAATTATGGTCTTTGTTAATTGTAAATAATGAGAATACCATGGAGGTGATTTTGACTGCTGAACACACTTGTTTGAATAAATGAAGTTTTTTTTTAAGCACCATTTTTTCATATAAATCTGTGCACATAACTCGTTTTTGAACTGTAAAAGCTTTTTCCTTCTTTTGTCTTACTTAGAATTGATTTTCTAATCAGTATTGTATTTCATTTGTTGCAGCCATGCACAGAGGTCCTTTTTCTGACTTTGTTTCATGAGTTTCGTCAAACTCTTACTCCTCTGATTTTAGATATGGTACAGAAAGTCACTAGGGAACCTGCAACAGAAGATATGCGATCAATCTTGCAAAAAGATGCTGGTAATTTCCAGTTTTTGTGAAAATAACAACATTTAAATCTGTGGATACGGCTTAGCACACACATATTGTTTAATCACAGTGAAACATACCTTAATACCATATGTTATAACATGCATTTAACTAAAGAAAAGCTATAACACTGGTCTCATTAAAGATTATTTTGTATAAAGTGTTTATCAATTAATTTATTTAAGTATATATGAAATGTTAATTTAAATAGTTAGTAATAAATATAATTAGAAGTTAATTCAGAATACAAAATCATCCTGTTATTAGAAAAAGAAAAATACCACAATATCCAATTAACAAATAATTTGAAAGAACTTAATATTAACGAATGAAGTAGAAATTAAATAACAATTTATTATTGCATTTATGTCACTAACAACTTTTTACTTGTACCCAAAAAAGAGGCACTTTTAAGAGTTTTTTATATTATCCTGTTTAAATTTGCATCCCCTATAAACAGAAATCATGCATTTCTTTTCATATATTTCACAATTAAAAGTAATAGCCACAAGCCTAATTTTCTTACTACTCGATTCTCTCAAAGTTTGCATGCACTTTTGTTGAAAATACCTAATATATATATAAGTTTAATCTGTATATTACCAGAGTTTTTATTCTCCTTAACAGTATATAATGCAGTTGGCTTGGCAGCATTTGAATTGTTTGATGACATTGATTTTGACAACTGGTTTTTGGAGGTTTTATTACAAGAATTGAAACTCAAGACTTCAAGGTTAGGAACAAGTTGATGTTTTTCAACTTTAGACAATCTCTGATAAAGTTGAAACAAATAAATAGGTTAGATCTTACTTCTGATCATTATATTCATTACTTTTGATCACTTATTTGAATGATTATATCAATTAAAGGATGTTAAAAACTGGAATTGGGCTAGAGGAAGGCCACAGTAAATTCACCATAACTTGCGTTGATTCAAAGACATGGTGTTCTGGTTTTAATGCATTAACAAAACCATATTCAGAAGGGTTGATGTCAGAATTGGGATGTATGTGAAAAAAGTTTTCTTGCTGAGATTTCATAAACTTATGCAAAAAAACATGAGTTTGACATTCTGTGACTGTTAGACAATAAATAATAATTGTTTTACACTTATCTTTAATCCAAATTTTTCGTTATAATTTTTTAGCGGTATTAATCACTTTCTGTAAGTATTCTCCATGTCACGTTATCTCTGTTGTGTTTTACTTAAGGTAGCACTGACCCTTAAAGAACATTTCAATATTTGAAAAATCAAATTTTTCTAATTTAGCCTAAATCAAAAATTTCTCCTCTTTTCTACATAAATAACTCAGTTTTGTCTTAAAATCTTTACTAATTAACCTGTAGTAAGTGATAAAAAATAAAAGTCTAGTTTGTTTTCATTAATTAAAATTAAATGCCCATAGCTCATTAACATTGCAGAAAATTTTCCAAGTTTTTAATTCAAGTTATTAGTATGTTCACAAAGAGCATATGTATCAATTTTCACGTTTATATCATTCCTAAGTAAAGTTATGGTGTTAAGAGTTTGTGTTATGTATTTCTTTATCCCTGTCCTGAGAGATTTAATTTCTATCATCAGAGTTCAGAATATCCCCCCAAAATGTTACATTCACCTTTTTTTCCTTATAGAATAGACCTTGCTTTAAAATAACAGTTATTTTGGTCCAGGCAGTGAGCTTTAAAACAAATTTTACATTGACTTTTTTTTTCTGATTTATTTTTCAGGTTAGAGAGCTCCACCTATAGTGTTGGTGGTGAGCTTTAGAAAACGCTTCATTTGTCTCTTTTAATTATTTTTTAGAAAGTTTAGATAGCTTCACTGTAGGTGGTAAATTTTTAGAACACACCTTTCCTTTTGAACGCTGTATTCTCAAGTTGGTTTAGTACTAAAGGGACATAGTCAACAACCTTTGCATTTTTTAACAGATATAAGACTCTGAAACTTTTGAATGTTTACTTGTGAAACTAAGTATATACCAAAAGATAAAAAAGAAAAGTTTTAAATTAATTAGCTATTTTTCAGAGAAGGCTATATAATTTGAAATTTGATAGATTAAAATTATTATTCAAAGCAAGCAGGGTATCCATTCTAGATTGAAAATTAAAGATGCATACCAAATATAAGTGCTGGTTTTGTAGCTATGACCTATAAGATAATTATACATGGTTGTATACTTAGTATATAGCATCAAAATCCATTGTAACTTGTATGTCGTACCTCAGCTATAGAATCATTCGACGAAGAGTTACGTGGTTAATTGGTCAGTGGGTTGGAGTGAAGCTGTCCCCAGAACTCAGGCCGATTTTATATGAGGCCTTGCTTCCATTGTTAGATGAACAAGAAGATCTTGTAGTGAGATTAGCAGCTGCAAATACTTTGAAAGTCGATATCCTTTAAATAGTTTTATTTTAAGTAGTAGTATATTTTATGATCCTTCTAGACATGAATATTTTAGAGAATATTCAAGTTGCTTTTTAAAGAAATCATAGTATATTTTATGATCCTTCTAGACATGAATATTTTAGAGAATATTCAAGTTGCTTTTTAAAGAAATCATTAAAGATCAATGTATTTATTTTGTTTAATTGCATATCACGTAGTATAACAATGTAAAATGCAAGTATTTAGGATTTTAACTGTGTTTTTCTTGAGGAATTTGTTGTATTGGTTGCTTATTTTATTTAAATATTTTAAATTTCCTTTTATAAATTACAAAAAGTTAAACCATATTTATATTCCTTTCTCGTATGAATTTT